TGATTTAATAATTTAAATTACTTTAATATCATGTAATAACTAATAATTTATACATATATATATATATATATATAATATTTTTATATATCTATATATGTATAATTCGGGTTTCGGGTTGCTCAGGTTATTTGATGTCATTGCCTAAGCCCGTCCAAATTTAATTCAGGTTTCTGAATTTTTGTCCAAACCCGTATTGAATAAGAAAATATCTTGTCCAAGTCCTAAAAGAATTCGGGTTGAGTTCCGGTTGCTCGGATTGAGCCTGCTTAAGTTGCACCCCTAATGCCAAGTTGTGTATTAAATTTTGACTTGTCATAATTTCAATCAGGCAAGGTTGAACTCTCTTATTATGTCATTGTGGGACTCAAATTATTAATTCTTATAATTTTTTTAGCTTTCATTTTAGCTGAACAATTAATGACGTGTAGGCTTACAAATACAATCCTGTTATGAACACAGTAGTTTTTATTGTCTACTCACAATAGGAGTGAACACATACTTTTATATTGTGCGGGTCCTATCCTCATTGTGAGTAGATCATAAAAAATAATGTAAAAGATATATTTCTAATCACAAAATTGCAACAATGAGGACCCATAGTATGTGATCTCCATCCTATCATAGTTTTTCTCTAATATTAAAGCTAAATACGTACTCAAATTCATCCACCATAAACTCAAACTTAATACGATAGGGTTACATTGAAAATGAATTTGGTTTATGTGTTTCATTTTTTTTTTAATTATAATTTTTTGAGATCTCTAATATTGTTATTTGACAAAATGTTAAAATTTAACAATGTTATTCCAATAATGTCGTATTTTCTATTTTTCCATAAATAATTTTAAGGGTTCGACTTCTCTCAAGTTGAGAGAACGTTTAGGCTTGATAGATCTATTTTAGAACCAATTTCAGTAATTTCAATTGGGAACTTTTAGAACTCATTATATAAAATATTCATGTAAAAAATTAAGATGATCACATATCGATAGTTATATATTTGAATTAGATATGTATTACAAAAAATAGATGGCTATTATTCAAATTATATTTGTTGTTTATTTTTTAAAACAAATATGATTCAAATATATAGTTACCAATATCCAATCATCTTATTTGTTTAACAGTAAGCAATGATTGGTGGCCACAAATTCTGTGGCTCAAATGGTCCGAAAATGCCGAAACGACGTCGTTTTGGGTACAAAACAACTGCGATTTGAGCCACATAATTTGTGACTACCAAACATTTTTCTATTCAATTCAATGATTTTTAAAAAGTGAATGGTTCGAATCACTGAAATCGGTCTCAGAACTGCCTTACAAAACCAAAGATCTCTCAAATTGAGATGATAAGGTGGAAAAAAGGCAAAATCCTAATTTTAAATACAAATGCCATACGTAAAATAGAAAGGAAGTGTGTGAGTTAAAAAAATTTCCAATACCAAACCTTATACCAAATATAGAATAAAGTTTGACATTACTATATACCCATTATATTATATAGCACATCATTTAGCATCTTGTTCAAAAATAAAAGCAATATAATCTTATATTCACAAAAAAATGACAGTTGTATAAATCAGATTTAGTAAATAATTTTTGAAAAAGGAAAATGTTTGGTGACAATATATGTGAACAACAATGCTAGGGATACGAGTGGTTATTACATGCTTTTGGAGTACGACCACGTGATATTTTAAGGTATTGTGATTGGTGAAGAAAGTATGATTATGATTTTGTATCGGGTGATTAAGAAATATGAGGAACATGGTATATGATGACTAGTGAAAGAGTATGAATATGTGGTGCTCCAAAAACATTAAATAGTTTTTCGATACTAACACATTTACTAACAATCTTACTAACACATTTTGATACGATCAATCAACTATTATTTGGTATGAGACCCATATTAATTTGTGAGTGTGTTAGTAAAATTGTTAGTAAATGTATTAGTGTCCCTAACACTTTTCATATGTTAATATATATAAAAAAATGTATTTCAATATATTAAAATTATAATATTTTCATCATTATTTAATCTTTAATCAAATATCAATGAAACAGTTATAATAAGCAGAAATTATCTAGTAAGTTTAGAACATTACGTGTCTATATACTTATTCAATAATAATTTATAATTTATCTAATATGTTCTTGTTTTCAGTGTCATCTATTCATGTAATTTTTTGTTATAAAACGCTGATGTCTTCCTGTAAGACGAGATAATTACTACAAATTCGAGATCCAACGTGAAGTATCATGGATGGAGTAGCACTTTCGGTGGAGAAATTAAAAATAGTCACATATATTATTGTTGTTGTTGGGGTCGTTGGAAGAAAAAGTCAACAGCAAAACGGTGTTGGTAGAAAAGGTCGGTGAAAATCGGCACGAGTCGGTGGTCCACAACAGAAGGGGTCACCTTCAACCGCATCATTATTTAGATATATATATATATTTTTACAAATAAATATCATTAATTAACATAGTTATAATCATTAAATTGATCTGAATTTTTTATAAATAGTTTATGTATTGTGATTTAAAAAATAAACGTTCAAATTACTAAATTAAAATTTGTCATAAACCTTATGAATTCAAACAATACCATCTAATTTATTTTGTGAACTTGAGAATCTCTGCCGCCCATATATTTATAGAATAATATTTGGGACTTCTTTTTGGAGAAATTCCCACTACCCCTACAATTATGTGGATTAATAATGTGTTTGTATTTTTTATTTTATTTTATTTAGATCAATCATAAGTAAATAAAGATTATAAAAATAATATTTTGTGAGAATCTGAATCATTATTGATATTTATATGGTTTCAAAGTCCTACGAAGTTGTACCAAGGGAAAAAAAAAGTCCAATTAAGACGCTAATGTATAACTTTTGTCAACAAATATCACACATCAACAACTTCCTCTCTCACTTTTTGGTAGACACTTGTCCTCCATCCCTGCATTCCAGTTGCTTTTATAAGTATTGATATTTTGTGAGGGTCCAATCATTATTAATATTTATGTAAGTTCAAAGCCTTACGAAGCTGTGCCAAGGAAAAAAAAAAAAAGTCCAATTAAGACGCTAATGTATAACTTTTGTCAACAAATATCGCACATCAACAACTTCCTCTCTCACTTTTTGGTAGACACTTGTCCTCAATCCTTGCATTCTAGTTGCTTTTATAGATATCCCTGTGGCAAGAGGTAAGTTTCCAATTCAGGGTTAGGTGGCATTGTAGTTAAGATTTGGGGTTTAAATTTCAAGGTTATAGGTTCAATTCCCTTTATTCTAGGCCAATTTCCTGGGTGAAGTACAGTTAGTTAGGAGGTTAGACCTCAAGTTGTTTAATCAACACTTGGTGTGGGTTCAATGCTCCCCGCTGTGCGAGTTCTGACTTAAGCGGAACTTGTCTTAGGAGGTCGAGACAAGTTCTCAGGTTATAGTCTTCTCGCTCGGAACGGCTAACAGGACACCCTGGTGATCTCTGTAAGTGGCGCTGCCTGGTGATTTCTGTAAGTGGCGCTGCCTTGGACATGCGGGAGGGTAAGGAGGATTTTCTTGTAACAAAAAAAAAAAAGAAAAAAAAAAAAGGGTAAGTTTCCAATGATGCCAATCTTATGCTAAACAATCTTACATATATATTGAGGTTTTTTTTTTTAATAATTTTTTTAATGAAAGAAATTTCTTTTTACGGGAAATTTCTAAGTGTATTTAGCACATCCCTTCTTGCTAAAAGTTTTTTTTTTTTTGTTTTTTCACCATATTCCAATCGATAAAGGCTCAATTTCGCTGATGGTTTACATGGGGTCCTCTAGACCAGGGAAGTGATTTAAAGCTTTTGCAAAAATTATCAGAAAAAAAACCTATGAATATAGATTTAATGGTTCACATAGGAGACCTCTGGACAAGGGAAGCAATTGAAGCTTATACAAATATCTTCAATCAAAAAATTATACAAATAGGTCTTTCACAAATTAATTATCAACACGGTCATTAATTTTTTCCGCAAATTAAATTACATCAAACCAACTTCTACTAAATGATTTATATATATCTATATATATATAAACTGATTAATGGCAACTTGATTCAATTTCTCCAAATTTAATTTGTAATTTTGTTTGTTTGTTTAATATATTGACTCCAAATTAGTAACCAAAAAATAGATTGACCTAAACTAAGAAACAAAAAGATTACATTAATCTCATTCCAAAGACTTACTTTTTATATATATATTTTTGTTCAGTTCGATGCGGTCACATAAGAAATTTTACCTAAAATTTATAAATACATTATACATATATATATATATATTTTTCCCCCTTCAATTTGATGGAGTCACTACAAGAATTAACACTTTTGGCAACAAAAAAATTGGTCGCTAAAAGTCTATTTTTGGTCGGCAAAAGTTATCCGCGACCAATTTTTTTGGTCGCTACTTTGGTCGCCAATTGAGGGTCGGCAAAAGTAATTCGCGACCAAAATTTTGGTTGGTCGGCAAAAGTTAGATTTGCCGACTAAATTTTTGGTCGCTAAATATTTAATTACCGCGACTAATTCATTTTGTCGCTAAAACACTTTGGTCGCGAAAAGTGATATTTTCCCGACCAAATATCTTAGTCGCCAATTGACACATTTCGCGACCAAAAAGTTTGGTCGCCAATTATCACATTCAACGACCAAAAAGTTTGGTCGCCAATTGTGACATTCCACGACCAAAAAAGGTGGTCGCCATTTGTTATTTTTCGCGACCAAAACTTTTGGTCGGCAAAAGTGAGTTTCCACAACCAAGAACTATTTTGGTCAGCAATAGATGTATTTTTTGCGACCAAAACTCTTGGCCGGCAATTGTCATTTTTTGTGAAAAAAAATTATTTTGGATGTTGCGACTAATAAATTGATCGCCAAAGCAGGAAAACAATACACCTGTAATTCCTAATAATTCATTCAATCCATAATAAACCAATAATTTTAAAGCATCATTCAAATTAACTGAATCATTAACATTCGACACAATACATAATTCATTAACATTCGACACAATACAACTATTCTAAGTTTTCATTCACAAGTCACATCCATCTAGCATAACAATTTGAAACATAACTTGTGACATGCTCAGCCATTTACTTCATTCTAACTATTCTAAGTTTGCTCAGCCATTTACTTCATTCCACCCTAATGTGACATGCTCTCCTCCAGATAGTCCAGACCCTGAGAAATCAAGGGTGAAAACAGTAATGTTTGAAGGCAACAATATTATAGCCGCTTCACTGGCATCTGCCCTGCATCCACTGGTAAAATCAATACAGACAACTTGTTAGTAAAACAGATTTATAGAATGAATTTGTTAAAGCTAATTCAATTATCTACCAGCTTAATACTCATCCATACTATGGCAGAAAGCAAGTGAAGGACCTATATTTTTAGAAAAATTATTAGACAGACCTTTGATATTCCATATACTATCCTTACTTTTTCTATAAGAACAATCTCTACTCATCTACATTTATTTTCTAACCTGTATTAATACACAAGGCAAAGCCTTTCCTTCTGGACGAACAATAGGCATGTAATGACTACATTGGAGAACATCTCGTCGACTGTTTGTAACCTGCAGAATGATAAAAGGCCAAAAGCTAGTGAGGAATTTGAAGAATTTGAAGATGAGGAAATAAATTTAACATGATCAAGGATGCGTAGAAATATAATAGACTAATAGTTTTCAATAAAAGAAAAAGAAGAATGACAGGAATTTCTCTATAACTTGGTTTAAAAAAATTATGATTAAAAAGTTTATGATCAAACTTGATCACTTGCTAGAAATTAAACTTCTCATAATGCAGTAGCACATCAAGAATTGGGTGGTGCCCCCTTGGTGCCTTTTTATATATTAGTTTTTACTTGTAAAAAAAATGCAATAGCACATCAAGAATGGATCATCTTGTGCATGAACATAAAAGAGAGATTACTTATCAAAAAAAGAATATAAAGTGGTATACACAATATTCATAGTTTCACAAGCCTGTGAGCCAAGCATGTGCGAGAAGTCCGTTGAAAATTGTTAACAGCAGCAGAAAAAATAGAGAACAAAATTTTAAATAGATCCAAGCTACCCTTTCTTATGTCATCAAATTTGTTACACAATGTAGTGAATTGCACAGTGGAATCAGACTATGACAACAAGTTACATATATCAGTTACAGTATTGGGATTTCATAGGGGGGAAAACTCGAGCTTCTGACTAAGGTTTGATAGATCAAATTGACTTCCCAATTTTGGATTGCTTCCCAATGTTACTATCTGGACTACTACTGAAGCTTCTTCAGACTCTTCAAATGCTACATTCCATTAGTCTTGTAAAAAAAAAAAAGTCAATAAATTTCATTTTGACAGGAACAGATGATTTACATTGGTAGAATTGCAAGGTTGCAACTAGTTTGCTAATTTACAAATTCCTACAATTCTTTTTGTTATGGACAGAAAAACTAACAGTAATTAGCTTTTGAATTCTTAACAACTTCAATAGTATCCTACCATAAACCACAAAATGCTAAAATATAGGTATCACTTGAAAAATAACCCAAATATTAGATACTGTGCTTGAATTGAAGGAACGAACTCAAAGGCTTGAGGCCAGTAGTGAAACGGCCAAGCAGAAAGCAGTTGCTCACTAGTTAATCATCATCAGTAAGCAGATTCACCCAAGAACCACTGAATGACTCAACATTCAAGAAACCATGTTTAAAATAAACATTTGAAAATTGTTACTTAAAATTGTTTTCAAGAAAATTTTCTTAAAACAACCCACCTTTGTTTTCCGAAAACAAAAATAAAAAATGGAACATTTTTTTTTTAATTTCAAAAAAACGAAAACTTAATCAAACAGAGTGATTACTATCACTCTATATTAGGTAATGGACCCAGTCTATCTGTATTATGTCATAATTTCAGTATATACAAATTCTGGAAAATAATTATGCACAATGAGTCGGATTATATTAGGTAATGGACTTCCCATTGATCATTATAGAGTTGAAGAGCAATATACGAATCATTGTAGAAATATTGAGAATAATTCAACACCTTTGAACGAGAAAGATGGCGCACACGGAGATTCATCTCACGCTGCTGCTGCGCAGCCCAAGCTGCAACAACCATATCACCCCGCTGGTCAAAAGCTTTGCGCTTTTTCATAAGCCACTCCATCCATGCTTGAGATGCCTGACAAACATAGCCATAAACACAACAAAATGAGAAACTACTAAGAGATGAAGGAACATTTAATTTAAGAAAGTTTTCTACAAGAAGAAATTCATTCCTCCAAAGAATCTACACTTCAAATGTGTGGGAGTTACACGTATGTGTTTTGTTAAACTTAAAATTATGATCTGAAATCAACAAACTTTTGACTAAATAGAGGCAACAAAGAAAAACTAAATGTACAGGTTCAATGTAAAAATAAATAACTCAAATCACTTCAGTCAAGATCTCAACTTGTCATATGACCTTCAAGCAATACCAGATCTATGTGAAGTGAGGTGCCTAGAGGAGAAAGAAATAAGATAACAAACTATGACAGGGCCTTGCATCACGACTCCCAGCTCCATAATAATCTCACAGCTTAAAGTGAATCAAATAAAATATTGAAAGCAGCAACTGTTTCAATTGAAAACATGCCACCATAATATTCAGAGAACACAACCATCAAGAACTTGAAATTAAAAAGAACATGAAGAAAGAATTTGTACAGATGACACCAAATGGAAGATGCTGCATCTTGCATTTAATTATATCAAAGCACAAACACCTATTTACGGAAAGCTTTCCAACACAAAAGGAACAAATTAGGAATTTTACAAGCACACTGTGGACTTTGTCTTTGAGTAATTAAGGTTTTGGCATAAATTTGATCTTTATACACATTTTGAATTAGTATGAGTTGCCAGAGAAAATCTCATATTTCGCATCATAATGTACTCTGTCGAAAGATGATAAATCTATTTGAGAAAATCATTGGCATTTCTTGTTGTTCCATTTATTTGTTGGTCATTCTTTGTTCGTTTTGTTTTTGTTTATTTGTTTATTTTTTTGTCCATGTTAATATAGAGGTAGTTGATATCCTTTTTATTCCTTTTTCAATTTCATTTTTTTATTTTGGCATACAATTTTCACAAATAGACACAAACGGCTAGTGTCAAAAAATCCCTACATTTTCCCCAACAAAATTCAAAATCGAAACTTTGCAACTCATAATAAAATATGATATTAACTGTTAAAATAATCAAAATTTCACCTTCATGGGGTTGACTCGATTATCAATATCATATTGCCTTCGCTTCTCCACATCCATGAGCAGTTCATAAGCTGCTTGAATCTTGATGAATCGAGCTTCGGCTGTTTCCCCTTCCTCAAGGGTCCCCTTACCATCATATACTTAGGACAGAAGAAAGGATCAGTTTCATGTCTGTGACCAGATGCTAACTTTTCAACATGGATAGATAACAGAAATTGATTGTTACTTTCATAAAAGGATGAAAGTCCCAAAGTTTTAGGATAAATAAACTATTGTGGTAGATTATACAAAATAAGATTTCCACAAAAACTAGATGCTACTAATTCATGGTTTAAAGTTACAACAGTATCCAATACTGAGTTGAGTTGGTGTCCATGTCACACAACCATTCTCTTCTATTCTTATATGGTACATATTAACTACTGTGGCTTAGTCACTGTCCTACGAACCAGAAACACAACATACAAGGTGTTTTATAAGGATAAGTGATGAAAGCAAAACCGTCGGCAGTTTTTGATGAATTGAATTTGGAGTTATGAGGGTATATTTGGATGGCCAATGTGATCTAGATTCATAGCTCAGGTGGTGAAATCTAAATATGGGTTGAGCAATATTCATAGCAAAGTTCAACTGCTCAACCCCAACCACCACTAGTAGTTGTGCAAACAGAGGGCCCAAACTTATTTATATTAAGATCATATCTTTTCAATTTATTCAGGGCCTCGGGAAAGGGTATCTATATCTACGTATATCAATCATAAAGTACAAGACAGTAGCATTTGGCCATTACATGAGTAATAACAATATGCATGTATTCATATAATTTATACAATGGGATAAGAAACTAAAAAGTCACGATTATGTTTATACAGGAATATATATCAGAAAGAAAAAATAATAATAATCAGCACAAGAGGCAGCAAAATTATATGGATTCAAAAACAGAATTGGTTAATGGTAACTTTTGGAAACAAAAACAGAGTAAAAGTAAGGGAATATTGTTTGGTTAAAGATTTATAAACTCATCAAGCCTCTAGAGTTCCAGTATCAATTTGCATCACAAAGCCAGAAAGTTTGTAGGCAATAAACTTACTTCTGAACTCATTTGCTTCTTCTTCTTCTCCTTTTCCCTTTGATGCCATTCATATATTGGGGTGAAATCGTAATCTTCCAACTTCTGAATTACATGGTTTTTCCCAAGTATTTTTCTCCAGTCATTCATAAAATTCTCTTTGAATGTAGGTTTGTTCATATAATCAGTATCTAACATCACTACATACATTGTTGCAACTTGCAAAAAAAATCATAAATAAAACAGACAATGTGGATGACTATGAGGAAGAGAACTTCCAAAATGAATGCAATAACAGTGAAAACTGAATTAATGAATAGAAAAAAATAAGCTATACATTACGATTAAGAGTCAGAAAAGATTAAGAAAGAGAGAAACCTATTGCTGCAATTAATACAAAACATACATATATATATACATAAACCCTAAAACCATCGTAAAACCCCAAATCATTTAGTTGTTATGAAAAGACGAAATCAAAACCCAGTTAACCGAATTACCCAATATCTCCTCTCAAAACATATTTTTTGTTTGGATGGTGAGCTATACAGCCAAGAACACGAACCTTAGAATATAATTCAAAGACAAACCAAAAAACATTTCAGTACACAATCACATAAAAACTGGAGTATCGGACGTTTACAATCAGGAATATCAACTACATTATGAGTACCCTCTTGATAGAGCCCAATGAGAGGGTCGGTGGATGAGCCCCGAACTGCGAGTTTTGCACGACACCTCCATCCCCATTGTAAAGGGCGAAAATGTTATCAAAACCCTAATTACGAAAAAACCCAATTGAGAAAGTAAACAAGGAGGCGGACATACGAGTCTACAAGTATCGAAGGTGAAGTCAGATACGCCGTGTTTGTTGAAGAAGTCGGTGGCCTCGTCGAGGATGATCGGACGGTGGAGATTGTACTCTTGAGTGCAACCAGAACATCTGCAAAAACAAAGCGATAGTCGTCATTGTAATGAGATGCCGAGAGAGTTGACAAGTGTAGAGAAATAGAGACGTGAAGTGGTGGTGCGTACGATTGGAAGTGAGGGCACTCACTACAAGAAATTACATTTTTTGAAACGCAGCTATTCTCAAACTCAGAGTAGGAAATTATACATGTCTACTTTCAGCAAAGGGTTCAATTCTTGAGCAGCTCTTGGTAGATGGTGAACTAAATAAAGCTTACATATTGGGATCCTCCGTATCAAATTCTATAATTTGATTCTCAATTAATAAAAGGTGCATTTTATGATTGTTATTTATTTATTTATTTTAAATTGATTTTCATTTTATCAAAATTTTAATTTTCTTTGTTTCTTGTCTAGGTTCAGGGGATTGGTGTGACCACTAAAAACAATGTGCTACTTAACACAATCAAACTTAATAGTCCTTAATATAATATGCGCAAACCTTTTATGTATACCTCGCTGGTGTTTCATCATTTGGTTGCCCCATTTCATAGGGAAACCAAGTGTAGTTTTCATTATTCATTTTAGAAGCCAAACTACAACAATTAACACCCTCTAAAGGTAGACTAGATTCAAATTGGATATGGGCAATATTATTTCTGAATTTCAAAAAATAAAGAAAAAAATGAATCATCAAATAATTTCATAAGGTAAATCCATCTAGTTCAGTAAACCATAAAAGCACCTCAAAGGAGCATAAGAATAGGCTAACCTCACCAATCCCCATAAAGGCACACATGACAATCAAGAAAGGAAGCCCAACTCTGGCAGCAATAGGTGTCAAAACTGTTGTAGCTGACGACCAGATCACTCCAAAACCCAATACTAGTTTCCCACTAATTTTATTTGCCCAGATACCTCCAAGAATCTATTTGCTAAAGAAATATAAAAAAAATCTAGTTAGTAAAGAAGGATGGCAAGAATTATTCAATAAAAAAAAAATTACATGGAAGGACAATATCTCATCAAGAGCAATGAAGAGTTATTCACTATTTCAAATGTACAATCACCAAAGTATGTGGATTACAATTTCAACCACTGGCTTAGATGATGACAGCCAAAGACATACAGATTCAAAATCGTGACTGTTAATTGTTTCCAGATAAAAGGACCAAGACCCACTACAGGTGATAAACAAGAAGGGTTGTGTGAGTATGTGTGTGCACGCTAGATATATTTGCATTACAATTCTAAAAGTCCAAGTATTAGGGTTGATACAACATATAAATGACATTTGAAGATTAGAACCAATTGCTAGTTCTGAGTTAGTGAAAAAAAAAAATAACAATTTTAAACCCCTTAGAACCATATATGCGGGTGGTGGAAGTCAGAAAAAGCACTTTTATGGAGTTTTACATAAATTCTAAAATTGCCTTTTCTAAAAAGCAAAAACTGCCATTGTTTGAGTCAACCTGAGTGAGGAGATAGCCCCAGAAAAAGGAAAAGTGAATGAGACCAACTGTTGCACTGTTCTAGTTAAACTCTTGTGACATTGGAAGTATTGCAATAAAACTGCCAATGTTTGAGTCAAGCTGAGTGGGGAGATAGCCCCAGAAAGGAAGACTAAATGAGACCAGCTGTTGCACCGTTCCAGTTAAACTCTTGTGAAAATGGAAGTATTGCAATGCTCATATTCACCTAACAAGAAAAATTTAGAGCAGTTAGAATTTGAAAATATGATTTCATCTTGGTTAAGAATTGTTCAATATAATAGAACTGCCTTGCAGGTTGCAACTACTTAGGAGGAGAAGAAATATTCAGAGTGAAAGCTAAAAATTATTTCAGAAAATATAGAAGAAAAAAAAGATTCAAGATTTGGTTTTTATAGACTATCCTCTGTTTCCCAATTACCAAATAAAGTAGCTAAGGAAAATACTCACTTTTTAATGATTCCTCATTTTGATATTTGCTCAAATTTAGGTCATTTCGAAAGAATGAAGTAAAATCTCACTGGTATTGCCTAATGCGAACAACTAATTGGCTTCGGTTGGTGAATTTTTTTTTTTGGGTGTATAAGACATAAAATAGAACAAAAAAATTTACAAGTTTATAGGGGGCATGCCCTAGGCCCTACCCACACAACACAACAGCTAAGAAGCCACATGTAACGAAACCACTGAAGCAAAGCCACACAACAACAGCCAACAAAAAAAACATCTAAAAGAAGGAAAAAAAATTAACAAACTAACTAACAAAACCTGCCTTCAACCATCTTCATTGAGCATAGGCACCACACAGAGCAAACCGAACAAAATATTGTTCAAGAACCATGTCCAGTAGAGGATAGGGGTCTTACACAAAAAAGCCAACAACAAAAAGAAAACTGCAACCAGCAAATGAGAGAAACAAGCCACAAAAGGCCAATTCAACAAACACAGAGGCAACACAGTGCGGAGACAGCCTAGACAACACAGATACAACAACAGAGAAACTGTAGCCGTAGCCCTAAGCCCAACGATTGGTGAAATTTAACAGTCCAGAATCCAATTCATCCATGAAAATGAAAACAAATAAACTCAACAAATCCAAATATTTACTCAAACGAATAAAGGAGAGTATGGTGAGAGAGACCGATACGGGGATGAGGTTTGAGACCAGCTGTGGCTATCCTCTTCGCGAAAGCTTCTCGATACTTCGACATGTCGATTCGGTCGTCTTGTCGACTGGAAAAATTGCAGAGTAAGTGATTGATGGACGCATTTGAGGGATTTAGAGGAAGGCAATTCAATGGTTCAAAATAGTGATGGGGCTTTTGATTTTGCCTTTGCCTTTGTTTCTTACTACAGAAAGAGCAATAATGGTGGAGCAAGGGTTATGATCAGTCACTCTCCCTCTCCCCTCCACCCCTCTCTCTCTCTCTCTCTCTCTCTCTCTCTTTTATGTGCCTTTTGACGAACCCTAGTTCTTTTGATTATAAAAAGCCCAAGAGTTAAATGTATAATCTCATTCCCGTATGGCAGTGGCGGGAATGGATAATCTCATTTCTTACGAATTGGTATTCATTTTCCCCCTCCATGTTTCAAATTTCCCTCCCAAATTTTTCGCGACCAAATGACCAGATTAGTCGCAAAAAAGGTACCTTCGCCGACAAACTTTTTAGTCGCCAAATCTCAATCAACGGCGACTAAAATATTAGTCGCTAAAAGTACTAATTTGGCGACTAATTTTTTTTGGTTGCTGAAAATAAGTTTTTGGCGATCAAATTTTTGGTCGCCAAAAAATATGTGACCTTCCGCGACCAAATTTGTAGTTGGTCGGCAAAAGTATACCAATTTCTGCGACCAACTCATTTTTTAGTCGCCAAAATATAACTTTCTGCGACCAATAATATTTGGTCGCCAAAAATAATGATCATTCGCGACTAACTAATATTTGGTCGCTAAATGTCATTTTTTTGTGACTAAAATTTTTTTGGTCGGCAAAAGTGGTCGCAAAATATGTAAATTCTTGTAGTGAGTTAGCTGAACCAAATTAACCTGATGGTAAAAGGACATATGTTTTTCCATTTCCATTTACAGGCGCAATTATTTCAAATTTTCTCTTTCAAGTGCAAGTGTTTCGAAGAATCTAAGCTCCGGTTTAGCTATTATTTTGGGGTTAAAAAAGTACAAAATGACAAAATAAGTTAATAAGACAAAATATCACATCCAACCTATAATCATTATACTTTTCTCTCGCAACAGTTTAAAAAGTCAAAAAATTCAAACCAAAAGAGACTAAAAAAGTCAGACTAAAAAAGTTCCAACACAAAAAAATTGACTATATTAGTCAATGCCAAACAAAGCTTAAATATGTTTTGGAAAAAAGAATCTGACGCTGTGTTTGGTTGGGAGATTTGGAGAGGGATTTGGAAAAGGAAAGGAAAAAGGTGTGTGAAACTAAGTGAAATATAAGTATATTTTATTCACATTTCACCTACCTTTTCTATTTTTCTTTCCAAATTCCTCCTCAAATTCCCCAACCAAACACAACTAAACACGGCATAAATGAATTTTTGGCTTATGAGTTTATGCTATTTTGGGAGTTTTGCTTTTGTTGGTTGGTTTCTTAGTACTAACTGCTCTATAGCATGAGCATGTTCCACGCATCGCATTGGGTATAAAAGCTTTTTGACTTTCCTTAATTGATGCATATTCGTGGTTTTTTGTTTTTTTTCCTTTCTTGTAATATTTTATTGCCAAAAAAGAAATTATTTGAAAAATATATATGCTCAACAATAATTACATGAGCTCAACCTCATCGTAACAGACATGTATATATTTTAAAAAACTTCACGCTTATGATGCCAATCAATTGCATGGTGACAAAGTCCTCGGAGTCATTGTTTTTGACCCTTCCACCATATTTTACTCAACAACTCCGTTTGGCATCTCTCTTACACATTAGTCAATGATAACAACATGCATGAATAAGTCACATAGTTGCATGCGAGCCTCTTTCAAATCTATTTGTCACAACACATTAATCATCTTTGTTTGAATGGAGTGATAAAATTGTGCTTCTTTCAATCATATATGAAAAACTAACCTTTTAGAATAATATCTTTATCAAATCCAACCATGTCTGTTGCATTTTGATTGGTTAAGATTTTTAGCTCATCCAATATCTTTGTGGATATTGAATATGTGAAGTGTTAAGTTTTTGTAATTAATAATTTTATTTGACAAAACTCCTTATAATTTTATGCCTGTGCAGAGGAGTTTGTGATCTTAAGGTTTTTATGCTTGTCATTTCGCTGACTATGTATGAGGAGCGGTCGTTTGTGCACTCGAGCGGTGATAGGAGCATCTAGTATCTCTGTCTGTAAATTGAATGTCATGCCCCAAAATTTGGATAATTAAATATTAAATTAGGATTAAACCCCAATCAATATTCCATCATTCAAATCCTAGGGGTGAAACAAAAATCTAAATGTTCTCGTCTCCATAAGTTTAAATAAATTTTAATACTCAAGAAAAAAATACAGGGGATAAAAAAATTAACAAACGCCAATCAAGCCATCCATCATAAATTCATGACTATCCAATATCTCTAACATTAAAGTAACAACAAATAATCAAAACAACTTAAATAATGTAAAGTTAGAAAATAACCTACAATGCCAAACTATCAAAATACTAAAGTCATAAAAAAAAAATAAAAATAAACTAATATCAACCCTAAACTCCAGAAAACAAAGAAGTCCGAAAGATATGTCCTACAATCGTAATTATTTCTTGTCACCACCGCAGTCTTAACTAATCCTGCAAAGGAAGCTCAGCTGCAACTGATTAATGGCAACTTGATTCAATTTCTCCATATATAAAAACTGATTAATGGCAACTTGATTCAACTTGATTCAATTTCTCCATATATAAAAACTGATTAATGGCAACTTGATTCAATTTCTCCAAATTTAATTTGTAATTTTGTTTGTTTGTTTAATATATTGACTCCAAATTAGTAGCCAAAAAATAGATTGACCTAAACTAAGAAACAAAAAGATTACATTAACCTCATTCCAAAGACTTACTTTTTATATATATATTTTTGTTCAGTTCGATAGGGTCACATAAGAAATTTTACCTAAAATTTATAAATACATTATACATATATATATATATATATATATATATTTTTCCCCCTTCAATTTGATGGAGTTAGCTGAACCAAATTAACCTGATGGTAAAAGGACATATGTTTTTCCATTTCCATTTACAGGCGCAATTATTTCAAATTCTCTTTCAAGTGCAAGTGTTTCGAAGAATCTAAGCTCTGGTTTAGCTATTATTTTGGGGTTAAAAAAGTACAAAATGACAAAATAAGTTAATAAGACAAAATATCACATCCAACCTATAATCATTATATTTTTCTCTCGCAACAGTTAAAAAAGTCAAAAAATTCAAACCAAAAGAGGCTAAAAAAGTCAGACTAAAAAAGTTCCAACACAAAAAAATTGACTATATTAGTCAATGCCAAACAAAGCTTAAATATGTTTCGGAAAAAAGAATCTAACGCTGTGTTTGGTTGGGAAATTTGGGGAGGAATTTAGAAATGGAAAGGGAAAAGATGTGTGAAACTAGGTAAAATATAGGTATGTTTTATTCACATTTCACCTAACTTTTCCATTTCTCTTATCAAATTTTTCTTCAAATTCCCCAACCAAACACGGCATAAATGAATTTTTGACTTATGAGTTTAGGCTATTTTGGGAGTTTTGCTTTTGTTGGTTGGTTTCTTGTACTAACTGCTCTATAGCATGAGCATGTTCCACGCATCGCATTGGGTATAAAAGCTTTTTGACTTTCCTTAATTGATGCATATTCGTGGTTTTTTTTTTTTCCTTTCTTGTAATATTTTATTGCCAACAAAGAAATTATTTGAAAAATATATATGCTCAACAATAATTACATGAGCTCAACCTCATCGTAACAGACATGTATATAATTTAAAAAACTTCACGCTTATGATGCCAATCAATTGCATGGTGACAAAGTCATCGGAGTCATTGTTTTTGACCCCTCCACCATATTTTACTCAACAACTCCGTTTGGCATCTCTCTTACACATTAGTCAATGATAACAACA